GGAAAAGCTGGTAAATGTAGACAGAGGCGAAAGGGTGTCATGCCGACGGAGAATATTTGGGAGTCGCAATTCGCAAAAATTTTGGTCGTCCCTGAGGATTTCCTGCTAGGATTAGTGACGTCATGTTCTGACGCGACAAAGCCACATTATAAAATGTCCAGAGGAGGGTACGGAGGAGCAGACATGATGTGGTTCAGTCCCGCTGGAGAGTGGTCTCTTCTGAGAACCACTACCCTACGACCTCTTCTCATTGAATTTAGTGATTTACGGTAGCTTGATTCGAGTTCCAACCCATTTTTCACATCACGGGATCAATCCCATCAGTTAGAGGCACAACACACGATCAGCTTGGTGTGTAGACACCTTGCCGGGACCAGGTGCTTCGATCCCATGCTCAGGGGATGTCCCATTTTCGCGGTTGGAAAATGCGTGATAAGGACGTAGGCGCCTGTGGCGGAGGCAGTCCTTCGCCCACATGTGGACGCCACGCCCCTCACGTGTCTTTATCAGCTCCCCGATGTAGTGCTACTTGTTCTTTCCATTTGAAAGTGACGTGATAACGGAGAACTGATATCACTATGATACCAGCAAATGGGATTCATCTATGCACGTCCTTCTTCGCCGTTCGGTTGCACATGAGTTTGAAAGTTGATCTCATTTCAGGTGCTTTCGATTATTTTACAGCGTGTTCATACACTTTTGAGTTATTTCCTTGTCATTTTTACCTGCACTCCACCACCCACAATTTATGATCACGAAGCGTGCCACTGGAATCAAAGTTCACGCTGATGACATGCTCGGGCATCCCTTTGTGCTTCCCTTACTGGGCTGCCCCTTTCTCTTTACCGTTCTGGGGGGGGGGGTAGGGAGAGCACGTGCAAGACAGTAGTGTAGTGTGAGCGATGGTAAACGTGGCCATATATCCCTAATTATCGATTGAAAACACATCTGGCAATAGTAAAGATATTAGTCGGGTTGCAATTGCGATGTATGATCTAAATGTGGAATACGGGAAATCTACTGCTCCTCTGGACTTGACGGGTACCACTGACTAGGTCGCGCGCGCTGCCCGAATGATTTTCATGCACCAGTGAGGAAGGTACAATTCTAGGCCCAAGTCCGCCCATACGCTGATAGTGGAACAACCTTCAAGTCGTGGTCATAAGCAGAAACATACACAAAGAAGGCTCCTCACCTTCTCGAATAGTCTTCGATAGTGATTTCATGCCGTGAAATGCCCCACCAACAGCCACAAGTTACATGAAGGAAATGAGTAACACACAGTCTTTGATTGAAAGAGCCGCTTCCGATAGCGATGAGGCCAAACTTCCGTTACTTGAGAATCGGCGAAAAGGATTAGATACGTATCGATTGACTTCTAAATCACCATTGTCCAGTGAAGCAAGTTATGAAAGCGGTCTAACGAAACTTAAAGGATACCCTCCCTTGGTGGGTATATCTTCTCTCTCTGACGGCAGTAACCCTTGCTCTGGAAAACTTAGAATTTCTCATAAGTAACAGATAAATTTATCGGGACATGTTATGTCCTTCTTGAGCACAGAGGGCAGTAAGAAAGGGTCGCTCGCACGGGGGACTCCAGCGATGGGAGAGAGGGTCATATTTGTTGGAGGTGGGAGGATCACAACTTGAGGAAAAACGTTACTAAATTTCCCACTGTGATAGACCTTGGAGACAGGTTATGTAGATCTGATAGAGAATGTTGGATGTGGGAAGGATTCGTACTAGAAGAGGAATTTACCGGAAAGCAGTCAATATTATTGCAAAATTAATCCCAACGCAGGTCATCCACGATGTTGAGAGCGCGCGTTACCTACCAAATTCGCCGCTGAAGCATATGAATGCGGGCGAGTCCTTCTAGCTTTCTGTTTTCTTCCTCACTCTACTCCATCAGCCACTGAGGGTGGAAGTAGAATGTGTGGCATAGCCTCATCTCATGGTCAGTTTCGATCCCAATCCATAGTGCTAGAGCGCAACTGAAGAGCCGGCACAGTTCCCTTTCGAGGGTAGGGAGGAGGGCGTTTGAATGGCTCTTTCTGTTGAGTTACCGCAAACCATTTTGGGGTACAGTATCATGGCAGTGATCCCAGTTTCTGCACAAGGACTCCTTTGAATGCCCCATGACTCCCCTATGAACTTGCGCGGAGGGCTTTTTCATAATCCTCACCATCACTTCTGTGGATGAGCTCTGAAGCGTTTTTTTTTTCACCTGAAGGGTCACCACTTCCTTGGGACAACCTCGTTGTCAGCGAGGCCTTACTTCAGGGCACAGCATTGGTTGGGGAATCCCCATGGGGGGGGGTCGTATTTGGCCGCCAGGAGAGGGGGGGTCGTAATGAGTGCGTAGCCAGTATCGAGCAGCGCAAAGGTGTCAATGTGCTGAGTCCGGTACAGCGAAGCTTACTTTGTAGAGAACTCGGATATTTGAAAAAAGGACAAAACTTTCAGCTATAAAAATACGAAATAACTGGAATTTAAATGAGTCGACATCATCTCGTAAGTCCGTTGATGACTAAACAGTAAACGCATAACTTCTGGATTGGCTGCAGATGTGGGGCGTGTCGCGATTGCGCTGTGGGCTGATCCAGCCTATTTTTTCGACAAGCGACGCGACTACCATATCGTTCGTATCAGACGTTTTCCAGCAGTTGGTCTCCTTTATCGGAGACAGCAATTGGAGGAGCACAGATCGGGCGGCGTCGACACAGACACGCTCCATCATCCACAAGGGAAAACACTGTAAACAAGTGCACAGGTTCGTCATAGACCTCCCTGAATACTATAGACACATTTGCTCGCGTGAACAGACATTACGCACAAGTTGCACCATCCCATCACCTCTGCGCGGACCTCAGTGCGCGGCGCATACAAAGTCAGCGTGATCGGCGCTAAACGAACCATATCCTGCTCCTGCTCCACCACAGGATACGTTCTACATGCGTTCCTGGCTATTCGAACACGCTCACTTGAAACGGTGCACAGGAAACGGGTTTTTCGCGCGGCTGGGAGTGCTCCCTAAGAAATCCCCATCGCGAGATCTCATGAATCCCGAGAGCTTCAGGAACAGTTCAATAGGTTTTTAGAAAGAGAAAATCTTGAGAAGCTCGGATCCGTTCTCAGATTTGTGAAATGTTGAGTTACAAAAAAATATATTGATTCAAACCTGTTCAACTCGAACTTCAACCCTTCACTCCCCAACGAATCCCTATGGCAGATTTCTCTGTGATTTTCGCGACCTTCATGAACATTTTAGTACTTTCAGGAAGACCAAACCTTCTAATTTACCAATACGCTCTCCTCTTCCCCACAGGTCCGCTTTTGAGGAAGTTATGGTCCTTCAAAGACACCCTACTTTGCTGAAAATTCTCGCTCCATGGCTAATAGCCGTTTGCTCCAGTCAAAGCTGCAATTACACACGCACTTCTGCTACCGTACGATTTCTGCGGAAATTCTGCCCCTCAAATCAAGTGCACTGGGGTCCTGCGCACAACAACTGGATTTCCATTTGTTTTAACAAATTTATCGATTATTTTATTATTATCGTACCATTACCATTTATTTATCGTTCATGTTTATTGTTCCTGTTTGTTTTTTTTCTCCTTTTCCCTTCCTTTGCGCTCATAAGTTTTCCTAGTTTTAGTGAGCGTTCAAAATAGCTTTGAGTTGTGTTTATTTCCTCTCGATTTTTTTCAGATTCACGTAGGGAACAATAAATAACAACTCGAAGCTATTCCTGAACGCTCACTAAAACTAGGAAAAAGTTATGAACGGCTAGCTCTGGGTACTTGTCAGTTGTTTTTGTACAGAGCTGTGAAAAACCAAAACAAAAAAGGGGGGGGGGTCGTACCGAACCCCCCAAAAAGGGGGGGGTCGTACGAGCTCGACCAAAATCCCCATCGAATGCTGTGCCCTGCTTACTTCTAACAATGAAGCGGTCGTGTTCCACTTTCCCGCGATCCAACACATGCCGTCGATATCGTCGCGGTGCTAGAAGGCGTGAAATGAGCCCGTCCGCGGTGTTGGTTCCTTCCTTTACTGATCACTGATGTTATAAAACCCAGCTAGGGAGGGTCATTTCACGTCTCCTGACACCGCCCCGACTATTCCGACGATATCAACTATAACCCTTAGCAGTGTGGGAGGGGGTCGATCCCGCTTCCCAGTGACGGACAACACGAAGAAGGCAAAGAAGTTGGAGTGTCAGCCGCCGAATGAAGCCATAACGATCTCCCGGGGAGGCTATACCAAGTCTATTCGTTCTGGTCCCTCGCGGCATTATTGAAAGACGTGCTGATCTTATTGGAGGGAGACTGCTAGGTTCACCTGGCGGCCTTCCCCTCCAACTGCGTTGTGTCCTTTCCCCAAAAAGGCTCAAGTTCGCAGCGCAGACGACCACATTCGCCTAGGGATAGTCCTGCAGAGAAGATAAAGTTTCCGCAAGCCTAAGCCTTGATCAGGAGGAGGGATACGGAGGCCCTAGCTCAGTGCCCCTCCCCAACTATGTTAGCATCTGAAAGCAAATCGATCATGGAACTTTTCACGCAACCTGTTTCTATATGGTGGCCGCGTCGACGTGGTCCGCGAAATAACGCGCTCCAAAAAGATGACCGCGACGCGAGCGCGGCTGTTTTTAAAATTTCGCGTTTTGTCATTCAAGTTCTATTTCATCCTTTTATTTCCACTCATCTTCCCGATTATATCCTTCCCTTTTGAGAATACAACAAAGTTTCTGAGCTCTAGGGAGTTACTGCACTGTATTGAAGGCTTTGGAATTATTATTTTTTGTTCCAGGTGGTATTTGCTCCAACAGCTGAAAGGAAATGGTTGGTTTCCATCTCATTGTTGTTAGCACAAGTGTCTGGTCCATTCAGAACTATTATAGTTGCTATATTTCGTTTTAGGCAAGGCGTTATGATAGTCGTACCACTATTTTCTCTCCAGAGGGTCGTTTATACCAGGTAGACTGCTTTTTTGCATGAGCAGGTCTTATCGGAGCTTTTACTGTGAAACTTTAGGTTGAATATGCAATGGAAGCCATTAGCCATGCCGGGACTTGTCTGGGAATCCTCTCAACCGACGGTATTTTGATAGCTGCTGAGAAGAGAAACGTGCATAAGCTTCTCGACGATACGGTGGGTTTGGTTTCCGTTTCGGATCTTCTACATTTTTTCACCCTTTGGCTAGCTTTGGTTTTTGGACCATAATCTCTTACACAATCCCATGGACTCAGACTGAGGAATTGCGCCTTTTGGAACTTTCAGTCAGCACCAATCGGCGCTGTTGGGCTTGGGAGGGGCGTCTTGACTTTTGTTTGTTCATCTTAACCGTTAGATGACACTTTGATGTGATCTGTAAACTAAACTCTTTTTTCAGTCTGCAGAACGGTGTAAGTGAATCACTTTGGTTGAAAGAACTTACAGGTCTCGGTAAGGTGAACTGCACAAGTTTCGCTAAGTGCCATTTGGTGCCCCCCTTCCCCAAGTCCAGAACTGACTATCTGGGGGAAGGTGTGGGTTCAGAATGATAAAGCTGAGTCTTCGGTACCAATTCACCGTCCTCGGTGGGTAAAAGGTTTATCCCCTGGTGGGTAGAAGGCTTGATTGGTCATGGCGGAAGCCGCTGCAGGATTTGATCGAGAACGCGCGCGTGGCTCGCATGCTACTTGCCCCCTACACCAGCTCCGCTCTAGTATGAAATATCCGAGGGAAAATACTGTTTGGATGACAATTAATCGATAGTGAAGTAGCTTGTAGTCGCGAGAGGGACAAGAGAATCGTAATCTGCCGCTTCGCCGCACGGGGATTGGCGCGACGTTTTCTTAGCTCACATTACCCTTCGATTGGAGCATCTTATTTCACGTATACTGAGATATCGTAGACATTTGTGCTTGTTTCTGGCCGTTATTGTCTTTACCGACCAGTACGACTTACAATCGTCGTTATTAGTGGGGGCGACGTCGCACGCGAACCCCCTGGCACGGCGAATTACGATTCTCTTGAAACCCTTTGTAGTCAAGTGCTACACCACCTTAAGGCCGCATTCATACACGTCGATTCCGCGGCCTTTGCGGAAAAAGAATGTATGCGATCGATTTGGATGGTCCGCAGAGTCCGCAGATTCTGCTTTTATGAACGCGGTCTGACTTACACTCACTTCCTGCTTTTTATCTCTGAGTTCTTTAGTTAAATTTAAATTACTAACCAGTTTGTTGTGGCGGAGGCGGTGTAATGACAATATACGATCATCACGCGCGCGGTACGGGGTTCAACTCCCGGATCGGCTTCGGCTCAGGCCAACGAAGCCTGCTACCCCCCCCCCCTCTCCCCAGTCATTGGATCGGCCACATCGTATTCAACAGATTACGATTCTGAATGAAAGAAAAATGCGTGCCTTATCTTAAAAGGGATTGATAAACGGAAACACCCTATCCTTTGTCCTATAACCAGTTTGCCATTGTCGTTTGACATTAACTAAGTTTTTTTGTTTTGTTATCTTGCTCTCAACCCATATTATTGGAATTTTTTTCTATGTGTCTTCTTCACTGAATGTATTTCTTCACAGGTTCTGGCAGAGAAAATCTACCGACTCTCGGAAAATATCACATGCACAGTAGCTGGGATTACCGCCGATGCCAACATTCTAATCAACCATCTCAGATGGTGCGTTACTATTCAGCTTAGCCTTCGATTCCATTATTTCCTATATTTTCTCGCTTCAGGTGGGCTGCTCAATATAAGTTGTCATATGGAGAAGAGATGCCCGTGGAGCAACTGGTACAGAATCTCTGTAACGAGAAGCAACGATACACTCAAATCGGGGGTGAGGATCGGGCTCTGTCTATGGGACATGCATTCTTTTTCTTTTTTCACGTCCTTTTGCTATGGTTGACCCTACTTTTATTAATTCAAGTAGTTTTCGGCATTGTTCGACTTGGGTACGATATTTTGCACTTTTGTTAGTTTCTTTTACTAATACACGTTAAAGACAGCCCCCGCGCTCAAGTAGTACATGGTCGTCCTTCCTTGGGCAGGTAATTCAGCCTCCCACTCTCGCGACTCCTCAGCGAGCGAGGAGCGAGCTAGAACCGCTCAAAGTTCTAGTTCTAACGCCTGCTCAGTTGGACCGCCTCACTAGCTAGCTGCCCTCTGACGGAGAGCCGCTCAGTTGTTCCTTGTTGGGACGGCAGTCATTAATCGGAACTGCATGTATTTTTTGCTGACCGCGCTCGTGCTCGTAAATAATTCTGCTCTCCTTCATCACATTTTATTCATTGGGAGCACGTACAGTCAACAGCAACCCATCTCGTAAGGTAAAACGCGTAAAAATCACGAATGATGCAATTTCTGTGGTGCAAAAGCTCGACGCACTTCACTACACTAAAACATGCTCGCTACCGTAACCCTAAGTTCGGACGCCGGCTTTTTAAATGTTTTTTCTTTTCAAGAGTTTTTCCTCTATGTTTCTGTTGTTTTTTGTTTTCTTTTCTTCGCATTCGATGATATCCACTACTGGGAGATGTGACAAAGTGATTTGTGAGCCAGGGCTTGCACAGAGACCGCAGGGAGGTGTGACTGTCAGGGCGCGATTTTGTTTATGGTGTTCTTGAGGGCTCTTGTTTCTTTTTTCCTTCATTGAGGAATTACTTGTGAGATCTGCATACTCCTGTGAAGCTGAGAAGTGGTATATTTGACCATGGTCACAGGAAATTGCAGGTCTTTACAAGGTGCCTAAACTAGCTCCGCGAAGTACCACTTGGTGCCCCTGTCAAGCCGAATTGCGCCTAATTTTAGCTTAATTACTCATGATCAACTTGTATTTGGAAGTGGTTTCAGGAAAGCGACCGTTCGGTGTGTCGCTGCTTTACATGGGATGGGACAAGCATTACGGATATCAACTTTACCAATCTGACCCCTCTGGTAATTATACTGGTTGGAAAGCGACATGCATCGGTAACAATCATCAGGTACCTGTTTTGGTTCTGAATTGCTAATGAAATAATGGGTAACGGAATTTGCAAGCACTTCCTTTCAGGCCGCTATGTCTTTGTTGAAGCAAGAATATAAGAGCCCAACCTTGGCAGAGGCGAAAAAGTTGGCTGTTAAGGTTTTATGGAAAACCCTCGACGTCAAACTGACAAACGAAAAAGGTAATTTTCTTGATGATTCTGTCCCTATTATAACTCTCTAGACATCTGATAGTTTTGGAATAGTTTCATAGGAACTCAGGTAAAATCCTTCTAAAGGGTAAGAGTGTCCTTGATGGAGTGATGGATGATTCGCAGGCCAGAAAAGAGTGAATTTTCGTGCTGGAGTCCCGTCTGGGGTCATAATTTTCGACCGTTACTTGGCATTCATATGATAACTTTTGTGATAGCTCACTCCAAAAAATGCTTAGAATTAGATGGGGAGAGAAAACGCGCAGTGGGGCGATTAAACTTGGTCTTCTGGGCCCTCTTAGCAATCTGGTGATCACTTCCACCAATCAGACACAGCCATGCATAGCACCAGACGGACTAGACGACGTTAGCGTAGGTAGGGGGTACTACTCGAAAATGCTTCTATGTTCCGTCTCCTAACTAAATCAGTGGCTAAGAGCGCAGATGACCAGAGTCTCCGAGGGACTGTCTGGCTGAGAAGGCGTAGTCCCCACTAACCCAAACCTAAGCCCTGACTGTGAAAAGGGACAGGGAGGCAGATCAGGCCTCGCTCTTGCCCCCCCCCCGCTCCCCTTCCCAGCCCTGTAAAACTTCTGTAACTTATTCTGCTATCCGTAATATTTTCCATGTTTCAAGTAGAAATGGCTGTCTCGAACACGGATGCCAAGCGACGGGAAGACGGTAGTTGAGGAGGCTGACCAGCTGCAGAGGTTTGTGATTCTGCGTCTTCTTTACTCTGGTCCAAATGGCTCGTCTTTGGAGTAGGCTGTGTAAAGATCCTTCACTCAATAAAGTCCTACATTTTGCAGTGTCGAGAAGCATACATGAATTCTAACACCGGCCTGTGGATTAATAGAACGCACGAAGAGAAGGAAAAGCAGCTGAAGCTAAGTAATTGATGCTCGTTATCCTGTATCCGTTGCCAAGTGTTTAAATCATACCAGGACCTTTATTTATTTCGAATATGGAGAACTGTTTCTTGGATGTATATTTGCTGGTTGTACGGTTAATTAATGATCATTGTATATGTCTTGTTAACGTACTCATGGAGTATTGTGATGTGCGCTTCACACTAAGTGGTGACTAGCATCGTTCTTTAAGATCGTACATAGTCAAAAATGGCTCTTAATTCGACATTGGGAAGCGGCGGCGGTGTACCTCTAGTTCCGCCGCTATCCCATCATTATGGTGGAACACGTTATACCCCTGTGAAATCCTGATAGAAAGCTAATGAAAAGCCGAGCACACAGTAAAAAGTATTGCACAGGGCGCTAAAACGACTATGGAGCAAAGCTGATGCAGAGAATCCGGCCGTAAAAGCTTGTGACCCCCACCAGACACGCACCGTAACCCCACCGTTCACGAAACTCGAGAACGAAGTCAGAGACGTGGGACTCGTCAAAAAATTGCGCGTGACGTCGCCCGATTAGATTCTGGCTGGTGAATGTTGGCATAGACCAATACCGCTTGAGAGACATTCGCGTTTAAGGGTCGTAATTTGCGTTCGTTGGTCGTTGAAAAGGGCGGAGGGGGTAGTAGTAAGCTGTGGGCCAGACTTCTTTGTTGAAGTTTCTATGCCACAATATCTTACAGCCAGCGCTGCCGGCCTGTATAAATCGTCCCTTTCTTTTAAGTAAGGAGGCGGCGGAAAGTTGGGCCCAAAAAGACTATTGTCTATCAGTAAATATGTGTATGGTAGGATTGCTCCGCCCCTCGCCACCCATACCAGCCCCCCCTCCACCCCCCTCCCCGCGCATACCTGCGCTTCAGGCACATCCAAAACGTTTTTCGTGGCAATGAAATGATAAGGGAGTTGGGTAAGTAGTGAATCAGGTCGTTTCCAGAGGAAAAGTCGGGGAGAGAGTGGAGGGAAGGGTCTGTATTTGGCGGAAATGTTCCACTGAAAGGTAATGTGCTGCCTAATTCGGTCCTACGTACCCCTAAGAAGTATTGACAGAAATCACCTGCATCGGAAGAACAGCAGAGACCGCCATTTCCACTGCGAGCTAGCTAATAGTGCTAGAAGAGAGAACTTATAGATGGTTCTTCGTCACTGCTGTAACCCATTCCCTTTGTCTTATAAAAGGAGGGGCCATACCAGGAGAGAGAGGTTCATTTGCTGAGTGGCTCCGCCCACAGTCACCGTGGAATATGTCTTTAAGTTACTTGAGTGCTAATGATGTGAGATTGATCGCTGAGTTAAATTTTGCAGATGTCACTAACAGTGTCAGAGTTGTCTTTTCTTCGATTGTTAGAACGAACGAAAAAAGCTGGCCACGAACGAAAAAGCTAGCCAGGGAAGACCTGGCTGCGAATGTGTGGAAAGTGAATGCAGCCGTGCTGTATCTCGAAAATCTCTTCAGCAGGCTCCAGGACGAGAAAACGTAATCTGATCAGCTGTTTGATAACTTTGTTCTGGCTTTTACTGGTAACTCTTCCTTTCAAGGCTTCACAACAGCGATACACTGATGCAGTATGGACGCGAGTTGAATCAAATGAAACTTTTGGTGGAAGCTGAGAACTGCGTAAGTTCTCGACCCTTTCAAGAGAGACATTCTTTTCCTAGTGCTTGGAGTGCTACTAGAGGGTCCGGGGAGGGGGGGGGGGGGCAAGGTGGGTGCTACTAAATCTGTTTGTCTGCTTCCACTCACCTAGATAATGTTTCTTTTCTTCCCAGGCCTAGGGGTGTGTTCCCTTGGGGGCGTTACTCGCTAGTCGCGGGACTGCGTCAAAATATGGGTTGCATGCGCGATGACCTACACAGCATCTGCACCTAACAGCCCACTCAATATGGCGGCGGCACTGCGCCCTGGACTGTATCTCCCACGTCAGCTCGTACTGCAACGCCAGAGAAGTAACGCTCCCCCTGCGTGTTTCCCTAGTTCCACGAAGGGATTGAGGTCGCCCGCGCAGCACTCACAACAAAAAGACCTAATTATTTTAACTCGGCAGTGCTACAGTGTGCCAAGTCAAATAGTTAAGAAATATAGCTAGTTTGTGCGCGTTTTTCCTATCTTAGAACCGACACCACAGATTCAGTTTTACCGTTGGACCACCAGAGTGAGAGCAGCCTAATCTCTTCTTCTCCCCTTCTCCAACCACAATACATACCACGGTTTTCGAGGGAAACTGGGTGGAAAGGGTGAAATCCGCCTTCATTTCCCCTCCCCTAGCCGGCGGCGTCACAATTTTACCTTTACTGGTGAGTGATCAGAGGTCCCTTCACCCCTACATGCTGGCCGATTATTGGAAGGTTTCACATTATGATGATTACCCCCCCCCGCTCCAGTAGCACCCTACTTTGAACGTGGTGAGTGAGAATAATGAAGTGCATTTAAGAAATCCGCTGAAGAGAAACTTTCCCAACTGGACCTCATTCCACGGCGCTTCCCGGATACTGGTATTGAGATGCGA